TCGTAAGTTTCTTGATGTATTACACCGCAGTGGGCAAAAGCGCAAAAAAGCAAACATTTCTTTGCTAAATTGTTGCTGGTTGAAACTGACATAGAGTGGAATTTGTTGTTTTGGAAGCATAGCATAGTTCTGATGCGCTGAACATCTGCTTTTGACATCTCTCGGTACTCCATGACTAAATTCAATTCAGAGGCATACCAAGAATACTGAATGCTGGTCTTGCTGGCATTGTTGGAGTTACTTGTGTATTTCCTATTGATCTTGTCAAAACTCGCTTACAAAATCAAAGAATTGGACCTAAGGGGGAGTTGGAGTACAGTGGAATGTAAGCAAAGCAAGATTCTATCTTTTACTACTAGTAAAAGGAGTGAGTGACCCATGTTCAGTATTGACTGTGCAAAAAAGACTTGGAAATCTGGTGGCATGTCAAAATTTAGCAAGGTTTGTTCTCATCAGCTTAGTAACATTCATATTTGATGAAAAACTCAAAAGAACGAAGTTGATGTACCGTTTCAGATAAGAGCTCTTTACTCAGGATCTGCTGTTAATATTGTTCTAATCACTCCAGAAAAAGCTATAAAACTTGTTGCAAATGACTTCTTTCGCTATCATCTCGCCGTTCCTGGACAGAAGTGAGCAGTTGATTTCAGAGAAAAAATGATGTTTCTTAGCAGAGGGACAGCAACACAAGCAATCGAAGAAAATGAGAAAAAAACTATTATTGAGATAAAGATAACAGAACACCAATTCACTCTTAATTCCTTATTTGCCAGTTTAAGGAAAATCCATGCTGGAGCCTATTAGAAGTTGCTGAACAGTCACTGATCAGTGCTGAGGCTCGCCGTGCTACGCCGTTCGTAGCATTTGCAGGCGATTCTCCTGCTTTGTCCGCATTTCAAATACGTACCAATTTCTCGCCATTTGCTAGCAGCGGAAAATCGATACGTATTTGAACTACGCACTAAACGGGCGGAAGCTTACGTCTATCGGCGTAGTATGGCGGGCCCCAACAAAGCAAAAGTTGTTAATACTATGCTTCACATGCAACCGCACTGCTTCCTTTGGCGCAATTTACCTTATCTTCTCCTAAATCGACGAACACATCGAGCCTTCCTTGCCTTGACAATACAAAATGGCCATAATTGACTTAGCTCATCAACAGTTTTTTTTCGGCAAATATCTTTGCTATTTTTCCACAGAAAACTGTCAACTCCCCGAGGCATGCTGGCTGGGGCAGGAGCTGGTGCACTACAGATCATTATCACTACTCCTATGGAACTACTAAAAATTCAGCTACAGGATCAAGGAAGAACAGGCGGTAAGGGTAAAACTTGATTCAGTCGTGGGTTTCCTGATGGCGAAAATACATTTTAGTACAAGGAGAGAAGAAAATGACAGCACTTGGTGTATCTATGCAACTTTTAAGGAAGCATGGCATTGCCGGATTGTACAAGTGTGTGTTTTACAAAATGATTCTATAACCACAACTGGAACTGCTTTTCTTTAGAGGTCTCGGCCCAACATTCGCCCGTGATGTCACATTTTCAATGATTTACTTTCCACTTTTTGCTTACTTTGACTCATTAGTAAGTTGTTACTAGCTAAGAAATAATTAGT